CCTGCAGGATATAGACCTGTAGGACATGGACCTGGAGAAAATGGACCTGTAGGACATGAACATGGAGGACATTGACCTGCAGGACATGGACATGCAGGACAATGACCTGCAGGACATACATCTATAGGACATGGACCTGGAGAACATGGACCTGTAGGACATGAACATGGAGGACATTGACCTGCAGGACATGGACATGCAGGACAATGACCTACAGGACATAGACCTGTAGGACATGGACCTGGAGAACATGAACATGGAGGACATCGACCTGCAGGACATGGACATGCAGGACAATGACCTGCAGGACATACATCTGTAGGACATGGACCTGGAAAACATGGACCTGTAGGACATGAACATGGAGGACATCGACCTGCAGGACATGGACATGCAGTACAATGACCTGCAGGACATACATCTGTAGGACATGGACCTGGAAAACATGGACCTGTAGGACATGAACATGGAGGACATCGACCTGCAGGACATGGACATGCAGGTCAATGACCTGCAGGACATACATCTGTAGGACATGGACCTGGAGAACATGGACCTGTAGGACATGAACATGGAGGACATTGACCTGCAGGACATGGACATGCAGGACAATGACCTACAGGACATAGACCTGTAGGACATGGACCTGGAGAACATGAAGATGGAGGACATCGACCTGCAGGACATGGACATGCAGGACAATGACCTGCAGCACATACATCTGTAGGATATGGACCTGGAAAACATGGACCTGTAGGACATGAACATGGAGGACATCAACCTCCAAGACATGGACATGCAGGACAATGACCTGCAGGACATACATCTGTAGGACATGGACCTGGAGAACATGGACCTGTAGGACATGAACATGGAGGACATCGACCTGCAGGACATGGACATGCAGGACAATGACCTGCAGGACATACATCTGCAGGACATGGACATGCAGGACAATGACCTGCAGGACATACATCTGTAGGACATGGACCTGGAGAACATGGACCTGTAGAACATGAACATGGAGGACATCGACCTGCGGGACATGGACATGCAGGACAGTGACCTGCAGGACATACATCTGTAGGACATGGACCTGGAGAACATGGACCTGTAGAACATGAACATGGAGGACATCGACCTGCAGGACATGGACCTGTAGGACATGGACCTGGAGAACATGAACATGGAGGACAGCGACCTGCAGGACATGGACATGCAGGACAATGACCTGCAGGACATACATATGTAGGACATGGACCCGGAGAACATGGACCTGTAGGACATGAACATGGAGGACATCGACCTGCAGGACATGGACATGCGGGACAATGACCTGCAGGACATAAACCTGTAGGACATGGACCTGGAGAACATGGACATGGAGGACAGCGACCTACAGCACATGGACATGCAGGAAAATGACCTGCAGGACATACATCTGTAGGACATGGACCTGGAGAACATGGACCTGTAGGACATGAACATGGAGGACATCGACCTGCAGGACATGGACATGCAGGACAATGACCTGCAGAACATACATCTGTAGGACATGGACCTGGAGAACATGGAGGACATCGACCTGCAGGACATGGACATGCGGGACAATGACCTGCAGGACATAGACCTGTAAGACATGGACCTGGAGAACATGGACCTGCAGGACATGGACATGCAGGACAATGACCTGCAGGATATAGACCTGTAGGACATGGACCTGGAGAACATGGACCTGTAGGACATGAACATGGAGGACATTGACCTGCAGGACATGGACATGCAGGACAATGACCTGCAGGACATACATCTATAGGACATGGACCTGGAGAACATGGACCTGTAGGACATGAACATGGAGGACATTGACCTGCAGGACATGGACATGCAGGACAATGACCTACAGGACATAGACCTGTAGGACATGGACCTGGAGAACATGAACATGGAGGACATCGACCTGCAGGACATGGACATGCAGGACAATGACCTGCAGGACATACATCTGTAGGACATGGACCTGGAGAACATGGACCTGTAGGACATGAACATGGAGGACATCGACCTGCAAGACATGGACATGCAGGACAATGACCTGCAGGACATACATCTGTAGGACATGGACCTGGAGAACATGGACCTGTAGGACATGAACATGGAGGACATCGACCTGCAGGACATAGACATGCAGGACAATGACCTGTAGGACATACATCTGCAGGACATGGACATGCAGGACAATGACCTGCAGGACATACATCTGTAGGACATGGACCTGGAGAACATGGACCTGTAGAACATGAACATGGAGGACATCGACCTGCGGGACATGGACATGCAGGACAGTGACCTGCAGGACATACATCTGTAGGACATGGACCTGGAGAACATGGACCTGTAGAACATGAACATGGAGGACATCGACCTGCAGGACATGGACCTGTGGGACATGGACCTGGAGAACATGAACATGGAGGACAGCGACCTGCAGGACATGGACATGCAGGACAATGACCTGCAGGACATACATCTGTAGGACATGGACCTGGAGAACATGGACCTGTAGGACATGAACATGGAGGACATCGACCTGCAGGACATGGACATGCGGGACAATGACCTGCAGGACATAAACCTGTAGGACATGGACCTGGAGAACATGAACATGGAGGACAGCGACCTGCAGGACATGGACATGCAGGACAATGACCTGCAGGACATACATCTGTAGGACATGGACCTGGAGAACATGGACCTGTAGGACATGAACATGGAGGACATCGACCTGCAGGACATGGACATGCAGGACAATGACCTGCAGAACATACATCTGTAGGACATGGACCTGGAGAACATGGACCTGTAGGACATGAACATGGAGGACATCGACCTGCAGGACATGGACATGCGGGACAATGACCTGCAGGACATAGACCTGTAAGACATGGACCTGGAGAACATGGACCTGCAGGACATGGACATGCAGGACAATGACCTGCAGGATATAGACCTGTAGGACATGGACCTGGAGAACATGGACCTGTAGGACATGAACATGGAGGACATTGACCTGCAGGACATGGACATGCAGGAAAATGACCTGCAGGACATACATCTATAGGACATGGACCTGGAGAACATGGACCTGTAGGACATGAACATGGAGGACATTGACCTGCAGGACATGGACATGCAGGACAATGACCTACAGGACATAGACCTGTAGGACATGGACCTGGAGAACATGAACATGGAGGACATCGACCTGCAGGACATGGACATGCAGGACAATGACCTGCAGGACATACATCTGTAGGACATGGACCTGGAGAACATGGACCTGTAGGACATGAACATGGAGGACATCGACCTGCAAGACATGGACATGCAGGACAATGACCTGCAGGACATACATCTGTAGGACATGGACCTGGAGAACATGGACCTGTAGGACATGAACATGGAGGACATCGACCTGCAGGACATAGACATGCAGGACAATGACCTGCAGGACATACATCTGCAGGACATGGACATGCAGGACAATGACCTGCAGGACATACATCTGTAGGACATGGACCTGGAGAACATGGACCTGTAGGACATGAACATGGAGGACATCGACCTGCAGGACATAGACATGCAGGACAATGACCTGCAGGACATACATCTGCAGGACATGGACATGCAGGACAATGACCTGCAGGACATACATCTGTAGGACATGGACCTGGAGAACATGGACCTGTAGAACATGAACATGGAGGACATCGACCTGCAGGACATGGACATGCAGGACAATGACCTGCAGGAGATACATTTGTAGGACATGGACCTGGAGAACATGGACCTGTAGGACATGAACATGGAGGACATCGACCTGCAGGACATGGACATGCAGGACAATGACCTGCAGGAGATACATCTGTAGGACATGGACCTGGAGAACATGGACCTGTAGAACATGAACATGGAGGACATCGACCTGCAGGACATGGACATGCAGGACAATGACCTACAGGACATAGACCTGTAGGACATGGACCTGGAGAACATGAACATGGAGGACAGCGACCTGCAGGACATGGACATGCAGGAAAATGACCTGCAGGACATACATCTGTAGGACATGGACCTGGAGAACATGGACCTGTAGGACATGAACATGGAGGACATGGACCTGCAGGACATGGACATGCGGGACAATGACCTGCAGGACATAGACCTGTAAGACATGGACCTGGAGAACATGGACCTGCAGGACATGGACATGCAGGACAATGACCTGCAGGATATAGACCTGTAGGACATGGACCTGGAGAACATGGACCTGTAGGACATGGATCTGAAGGGCATGGACCTGTAGGACATGCAGGACATTGACCCATAGAAAACGGGCCTGAGGGACATGGACATGAAGGGCATGGACCTGCAGGACATGGACCTAGAGGACATGGACCTAGAGGACATGGACCTGTAGGACATGGACCTATAGTACATGAACATGGAGGACATGGACCTGGAGGACATGGAAATGGCAGACATGGACCTATAGTATGTAAACATGGAGGGCATTGACCTTAAGAACATGGACATGCAGGACATGGACATGCAGGACATGGACCTGCACCTTACTCTATAAAATGACCTGAACTTTTCAAGATTACATAACATCCCAACCCAAACTGGTATTTTGTGTGCTGGACCAACAACAAAATAGAACATGGTTATGGTGTACAGTAGAAGGATGATTAGACTTGGTTTTCATAAATGGGCAAATCAAGAAAAGAGTATTATGAATTCACAGTAAAACCGTTTCACTGCAGGTCCTGCTGGAATATCTATACCAGTTTTGCACATCTGGGGACTGCTTAATGGATCCATTTCTTTTCTTAGAAACAAAAGGCAACTTCCGGCTTTGCTGCAGAGATATTGCTTACCCTCAGCATGATGGTGCCACCTCCATGAAGCATAATTTGTTCAGTGCTTTGTTGTCCTACCTGCTCTTTGATCTCCTGAAGCTTGTTGCTCTGCTCTCGGATGTCATGGAGCAGCTGGAGGGCTTTATCATCTTCTTGGGTCACCTCCATCCGTGCTTGTTCTAAACTGCGCTTCAGACTCTAAAGTGAAATTAAAATCAGTCAGATGGGTTAGTTTGGGGTCCCAGGCAGAACCGAAGACAGAGATTTGGATGTCACTGCCCCCTGACAGCCATTTTTAAGCTAACATGTTTAGCAAATACTCGATACTCATTAATTTGCCATTTCAGGCATAAAAACTGCAAATACTGAACAAACAGAAATCAGTTTGTTGAACTACAGTTACTCACACTGCATTCTGTGATGTAGGTTGCCAAGTCCTGTTCCAGGATTGTCCTTTGAGTCTCTGAGGCCTTCAGTTCGATATCTTTCTGCTGGAGAACTGACTCCAGGTCAGACATCTTTCTCTGGACCAGTGAGATCTCTTGTTCAACCTGGACAGTCAACAACGAGCAAAGCAATGCAGATTCTGAATCCTCCACATTAACTTTTGTTCAAACAGATATCACCTTCACTGATCTTTAACAAAATAGAGAGAGGGAGAGACATGCAACCACAGGCCGGATTCAAACTCGAGTTTGGCTAAATCCAGGACTAAGGCCACCCACTGCACCACTGAGGCACACCCAAACTTCTTTTTATTTTCTAAAGATTAATGTTTAACTATGTTTACAGTTTTACAGTTTCAAAGGTTTAAATACATTTCGAAGTAGATTGGCAGCGCAAAACAAACTGCAATACGATTTAGGAAGTAAAAGGGTTTTTTGCTGTGGCAATAGCAGAGAGGGCTTAACCCCGTAAATTACATGACACCACTGAACGCAACGTCCAGATGTCAACACACCGCACCAGTCGCTTCTGATCTAACAAGCAGAAACAACTCTGTTTAGATTTGATAAACGTGGAGCAGCTCTGATGAGAGGGATTCGGACAGATAATAGAGAAAAACAATAAAGCACACTGACTACGCCCTGGCTTCCTAACATGTTGCTCTCCATTGTTTACTTTCCTGATTTCTGTCGTACTGGTGACATTATCAATGCTAACCCAGCGTGATCATGTCACCAGACACGCAGATGCGGGGGGACAGGCGCCACGTAGCTGCAAGCAAGGGTTTAGACCAGCTTTAATTGTCAGTTGGAAGAGGGGAGCTAAATGCAGATTGTTAGCAGGTCCCCATGTTTGAAAACATGAACACGCATTAACCTGCTAGTTGTAGTGGGAAAGCGGCTCAGGTTATTTGGACTTTGTGACCTAAACGCATATGAGTTATTTTAAATGATTCTTCTGGCCAATATACAGCTCTTGACACTATCAATGCTACACAGGGGCTCCCATCTTGAATTACTGTATGGAAGTAGGGAGAAGACGCACCGTCGTTGACCAGGTCATGTCAACTGAAAGAGCATATCCCTTTATGGCCCCAGGCTCTTATTCAGTCATGGAGCTAAGGCTTTAGCGGTACTATTTTTCCGCCTATTTGACTACTGTTCATGGCTCAGACAAGGAAAAAGTTAAAACCTTCTGAGGAGACTAAGAAGAGAAGACATGAAAGGGATCGAGGAAAAACAAGAGTCGATATAGGAAAATAGTTTCTTCATTGGTGCAGGCTGAAATAAGAAGCTGGATGTAAAACCGATACTCTTTTTCCAAATTTGTTATTAGACTTGTAAGTTAATGCTTTGCTCCTAGTATGCAGTCATACATCTTTATTATTATTTTCTAGCTTAGTAGAAGCAAAATACCAGAAGGTACAGGTCTAGCGCCCCTAGTGGCCAAAAGCTTCCTTTCAAGGATATTTGGTCTTCAAGTGAAGAAAACTGCTTTTTTCTTCACTTCTCAAACCAGATACACTCAGTTAGCCTCTGCAATGATGTCATGGATGTAGTAGAAAATGCTAACACCTACCGGCCATTATGGTAACACCTGGTTACCATGGTGACTAAACATAAGAAGATATTGAAGAGTTACCCTTATGTTGTTTTGGTGTTGCTCCCCTCCCCAAAATTGTCCTACATCTTAAGGAATGTTCCTCTTCATCATATGTGTCAGATGTATGTGAAATTTATGGGGAGCCGTAACTTTAAAATAAGCTGTCAAACATTAGGAACAATATTTATGGTTATTTAGCATGTTTTAAGAGAAAAATAAGGGGTTTATTTTTTACAATTCATTTTTTCACTATATCATTCATTCATTTATCAATATCTTGCTTTGTTAAATAAATATATACTTTGGAGCTAAATATTTAGTTTCCATATTAAATATTTAGTTTTTTAAATAAATATTTAGCACCAACCTAAATATTTAGTTTTTTAAATAACTATGTAGCTCCAAATTGTATATTTATTTAACAAATTAAATATTTAGCTAGCATCAAGCTAGTTAAATATTTAGCTAGGCTGGTACTAGCTAAATAGCTAGCTAAATTTTCAGCTTACCTATGGTAATTCACTTCAGCTTTTCAGCAAGTTAATTTGCAAATAAGCTAAATATTTAGTTTCCATATTAAATATTTAGTTTTTTAAATAAATATTTAGCTCCAAACTAAATATTTAGTTTTTTAAATAAATATGTAGCTCCAAATTGTATATTTATTTAACAAATTAAATATTTAGCTAGCATCAAGCTAGTTAAATATTTAGCTAGGCTGGTACTAGCTAAATAGCTAGCTACATTTTCAGCTTACCTATGGTAATTCACTTCCGCTTTTTGGCAAGTTAATTTGCATATAGGCTAAATATTTAGTTTGCACATTAAATATTTAGTTTTTTAAATAAATATTTAGCTCCAAACTAAATATTTAATTTTTAAATAAATATGTAGCTCCAAATTGAATATTTATTTAACAAATTAAATATTTGGCTAGCATCAAGCTAGTTAAATATTTAGCTAGTCTGGTACTAGCTAAATATTAGCTACATTTTCAGCTTACCTATGGTAATTCACTTCAGCTTTTCGGCAGGTTAATTTGCATATAAGCTAAATATTTAGTTTGCACATTAAATATTTAGTTTTTTAAATAAAAATTTAGCTCCAAACTAAATATTTCGTTTTTTAAATAAATATGTAGCTCCAAATTGAATATTTATTTAACAAATTAAATATTTAGCTAGCATCAAGCTAGTTAAATATTTAGCTAGGCTGGTACTAGCTAAATAGCTAGCTACATTTTCAGCTATTTTCAGCTTACCTATGGTAATTCCCTTCCGCTTTTCGGCAAGTGAATTTGCATATAAGCTAAATATTTAGTTTGCACATTAAATATTTAGTTTTTTAAATAAATATTTAGCTCCAAACTAAATATTTCGTTTTTTAAATAAATATGTAGCTCCAAATTGAATATTTATTTAACAAATTAAATATTTAGCTAGCATCAAGCTAGTTAAATATTTAGCTAGGCTGGTACTAGCTAAATAGCTAGCTACATTTTCAGCTAACCTATGGTAATTCACTTCCGCTTTTCGGCAAGGGAATTTGCATATAAGGTAAATATGTAGTTTGCACATTAAATATTTAGTTTTTTTAAATAAATATTTAGCTCCAAACTAAATATTTCGTTTTTTAAATAACTATGTAGCTCCAAATTGTATATTTATTTAACAAATTAAATATTTAGCTAGCATCAAGCTAGTTAAATATTTAGCTAGGCTGGTACTAGCTAAATAGCTAGCTACATTTTCAGCTTACCTATGGTAATTCACTTCCGCTTTTTGGCAAGTTAATTTGCATATAAGCTAAATATTTAGTTTTCACATTAAATATTTAGTTTTTTAAATAAATATTTAGCTCCAAACTAAATATTTAGTTTTTTAAATAACTATGTAGCTCCAAATTGTATATTTATTTAACAAATTAAATATTTAGCTAGCATCAAGCTAGTTAAATATTTAGCTAGGCTGGTACTAGCTAAATAGCTAGCTACATTTTCAGCTATTTTCAGCTTAGCTATGGTAATTCACTTCCGCTTTTCTACGACGGAGTATTAGGGCCACACATGAAGAGAAAAAATATTTTTGCCATGACGAGATTAAACTCGACATGTGGACTTTAAAGTCGACATGTCGACATTAAACTCAACATTTCGAGAATAAAGTTGAAATGTCATGTTGAGTTTAATCTCGACGTGTCGACAATAAAGTTGAAATTAGTTCAAGAGAGCCAACCGCTGCACAGGTTACATGCACAGAATCCAGAATCAGACATGCCTTGTGTAGATGATTTGGTCAAAATGTACTTTCTGTGATGATTATACAGTTATACAGTTGCAGCACGTCAAAGACTACCTTCACTCTTAAAACGCAGACTGCAGCTGTGGAGCGCGGTTGCTCTTTTTTCCAAACTTTGGAATGTCGAGATTAAAGTCCCCACGATATATCAACTTTATTCTCGAAATGGCGAGTTTAAAGTCGACAGGGCGAGTTTTAAAGTCGACACGTCGAGATTAAACTCAACAAGACATTTCAACTTTATTCTTGAAATGGCGAGTTTAAAGTCGACATGTCGACTTTAAAGTCGACATGTCGAGTTTAATCTCGTCATGGCAAAAATATTTTTTCTCTTCATGTGTGGCCCTAATACTCCGTCGTACTTTACGGCAAGGGAATTTGCATATAAGCTAAATATTTAGTTTGCACATTAAATATTTAGTTTTTTAAATGAATTTTTAGCTCCAAACTAAATATTTCGTTTTTTAAATAAATATGTAGCTCCAAATTTAATATTAATTTAACAAATTAAATATTAAGCTAGCATCAAGCTAGTTAAATATTTAGCTAGGCTGGTACTAGCTAAATAGCTAGCTACATTTTCAGCTATTTTCAGCTTACCTATGGTAATTCACTTCCGCTTTTCGGCAAGGGAATTTGCATATAAGCTAAATATTTAGTTTGCACATTAAATATTTAGTTTTTTAAATAAATATTTAGCTCCAAACTAAATATTTCGTTTTTTAAATAAATATGTAGCTCCAAATTGAATATTTATTTAACAAATTAAATATTTAGCTAGCATCAAGCTAGTTAAATATTTAGCTAGGCTGGTACTAGCTAAATAGCTAGCTACATTTTCAGCTTACCTATGGTAATTCACTTCCGCTTTTCGGCAAGTTAATTTGCATATAAGCTAAATATTTAGTTTTCATATTAAATATTTAGTTTTTTAAATAAATATTTGGCTCCAAACTAAATATTTCGTTTTTTAAATAAATATATAGCTCCAAATTGAATATTTATTTAACAAATTAAATATTTAGCTAGCATCAAGCTAGTTAAATATTTAGCTAGGCTGGTACTAGCTAAATAGCTAGCTACATTTTCAGCTATTTTCAGCTTACCTATGGTAATTCACTTCCGCTTTTCGGCAAGTTAATTTGCATATAAGCTAAATATTTAGTTTGCACATTAAATATTTAGTTTTTTAAATAAATATTTAG